ATTATAGAGAGTTTGATGTATCTAACCACAACCAGGCCAAACATCATGCATGCAGTAAGTCTCATAAGCAGATATATGGAATGCCCAACGGAGCTTCATCTCTCTGCAGCAAAGAGAATTTTTCGATATTTGAAGGGGACAGTTGATTTTGGCATGCTGTATAGAAAGAAAAAAAGGTCAAGTGTGTTTTTGGATTTATACGGCTTTGCTAATAGTGACTATGCTGGTGATGTAGATGACAGAAAAAGTACATTTGGTTATGTGTTCATGATGGGCTGGAGCTATTTCATGGTCATCTAAAAAACAATCAATCGTGACTTTGTCCACAACTGAAGCTAAATTCATTGTTGCAACATCTTGTGCATATCAAGCAATTTGGCTAAAAAGATTACTTGAAGTATTGGGTTATGATCAAAAAGATCCAACAACAGTTTATTGTGATAACATTTCTACAATCAAACTCTCAAAAAATCCTGTTTTTCATGGTAGAAGCAAGCATATAGATGTACGGTATTATTTTATGCGTGATCTCTGCAAAGATGAGGTAATTGATGTGGTTTACTGCAGAAGTGAAGACCAAATTGCAGATATTATGACAAAGCCTCTTAAGCAAGCAGTCTTTATAAAGCTTCGGAATTTGCTTGGAGTCTATTCAATGAAGGAAGCGTGTGATGCACAAGTGCTGGAGTAGATATTTGTTTTCTAAACTAATGTTTGAAGACATCCAGTTTAAGGGAGGGTGTTAAAGTTTGTTTTTAATAAATAGCTGATGTCCTATTCTACAGGAAGTAGTTTAGTTGATTACCTATTCTTTAGGAGAATTTCAGCAGTAGAAGAGTTTGTTATTCATGGACTTAATGGTCCTATTTTTCTGATATGCACAAGTATGTTTGTTTTATTATTATAGATATGATTTTTGAAAAAGTAAGAGTTGGGTGGTTATTACGAGGTAGAATTTGAAAATTAACAAAAACACCCCATAGGTTTGTTAATTTACTAAACACCTTTATAATAAGACATTGAAAATTAACAAAAACTTCCTACCCACCCATTAAATATCGACAGTCGGCCACCATCACCGGAGGGTGAATAAAGTCACCGTATCTGGGCACGACTGGCTGGATCTAGCCGGTCTTTCGCCAATATAGCCTTTTCCAGCCAGATCCACTGTGGATCTAGCCGAAAAAGGTCAGATTTGGCTGCATTTGGACGTCAACAACCAAATATCTAGTCGAAAAATGCTAGATCGGCGCACTATCAGCTAGATCCATCTGGTAGTGCACCATTATACTAGATTCCGGCCAAATTCTAATGGTGGTGGCCAGAATTTGGCAAATTTGGGTGGGTCGGGGTGTTTTTGTCAATTTCTAAACTTTTTGGGGTGTTTAGTTAAATTAACAAACCTAAGAGGTTTAAAAAAATTGAATAAAATATAATGAAATTTTCAGAATTGGGAAACAAATGTGTATTTTGAGTGGATAGAGATAGGATAGTGCAAAATTACTGAAACAAACGCACACCACATTGTTTACAATTCCTATTTAAGACTATATTCAGCTAATGAATAAAAGTAATTCTTTTCACCTCTCCAAGTCTTCAATATTTTCCTCTATTTTTCTTTCACAAGGAGGGCCTTCTTTTGTTATTTTATTGTATTTTTTCTGAATTTATTTGTTTTTAAGAATAATAGGGGAAGAAAGCAGTAATCTTCTTATGTTTAGCCCTTGTGGTTTAAGTTTACTATTAAGGACAATAGTTTCAAATACAATTTTTGTCCTTACTGTTTAATCTTTTAACTTGATAAAAGTTTAGTTGACTGTTAATTTATAATAAAATGACAAAAATACCCCTTTTAGAGAAAGCAAAAAGTTTGTTACACAAACAATACGAAATTAAATAAATATATTACATATTACAAATTCAAATTATATAAACAAATTATAAACTACAAATTCATCATTTTTTTATAATTTTGATTTTCAAATGTGTAATACTTAATTTTTATTATTAATATATACATATACATATATGTTACTATACATTTGTTTTTTTTAAATGCATTTATATCAATGTTTAATAAATTAACTGGGATAAAAATGAGAGGTAGATGTTTTAACCCCTAGACAGCAATATCAAGAACCAGAGGGTAGATAGATTTAAGATATACCTTAGGGGGTTTAGAGTCATTATCTCATAATTAAAATTACCTTAAAAAGATCAAAAAACTTTAACCCACACTGTTGTCCTCTTACTTTTACAAACTGCTTTTATAAATCCTGTTGTTTCAAACAGTGTTTTAATAACCAACCTAAGGTGAGACCCAGCAAAGCGATCAGGTCTTGGATTGACCGATTTAACCGATTTGACTGACAAGTCAAATCGGTGTTTAAAAGTTTGAAATATAGTAAAAACACCCCTAAAATTACATATAAGTCCTTACAGGTTTGAAATCTTGCATGTTTTCGACGACAACAATACTTTTTATGACCACGAAAACACTCCCCTCAGCCTCCTGACCAAAACCCATATCACCCTTCCCTTGACATCCGACTATTGTCGCCGATTTAGTTTTGCGATTTCCAGTCGATTCACTCACTAGAAATCACATCTATCGCTACCATTGCACTCACCAACCCTCTCTCTTCAAAAGCCTCAACATCCTAGCCTTCAATTGTTCATCGATCACCTTCCCAATTTCAAGGGTTTCTGATGAATAAGAAAATTGTTAACCCAATCCAATGAAGGCCTCAGGTCCTGATTCAACCGATTCAATCGGCCAAGTCGAGACAGGTTTTAAAACATTGGTTTCAAATCCTAATTTTAATGTTCTTCTTTGATGAATTAATGGTTAAAGGATGAAAAATAAACATTTTTTTTTTATACAGTGATGCAATTGACTTATCTATCATTTTATGAGATCCCAATTTATTATTTTTTTGTCTAAATGATAATTTAATCTTTCACTTGATCTTAATATTAACAAATCTATGTTACTAAACCATATGAATTTAAACAATAATAATGATTATGTAATTTTATATGTTTACCGTTTGATGCTTTGATAGTAGTTTGACGGATAATTTCAAGAAGAGATGTTCAATTAAATGAAAACCATGTAAATTGGAGGTTAGCTGTGACTTCTCGCACATACAGGAAATGCGACCTTCATTTTGTTAAACTTTTTACGATGCCAGAACTCCAATAACTAAAAGAGTACGATCATAAAAATATAATATTATGTCAGCATTCCAACAACTTAATCTAAGCTATTATAGTTACAAAATTACAGGTAGCTATAATCGTAATTATAAAATTTAAACAGAAGAAGACTAACCAGCCATTCAAATCTTTCATTACCGATCCCCATCAGCAATAACTTGAGGCTCTTCCCACAAAAGAAAAACGGGAAGAGACTGAAAAACTTGCCTCAACTAAGCCAGCGCTTCCGGGCACCGGCCTTTGAAGAGGATCAGCATAAGTCCAGCATAGATCCTCATTGAATGTCAATGGTTAATGAGGCTGGTAATATGAAAAAAATTCTCCTTGTGGATGTGTCGGCAAATTTGCCTCAACCAAGCTAGATCTTCCAGATAGAGGTCTTTGAAGAGGATCAGCATATGTATGGTCTAGATCTTCAGGCTGGTAAGATGATAATAATTCTCGTGGTGGATGTGTTGACACATTTGCTTCAACCAAGCTAGATATTCCGGACGCAGGCCTTTGAAGAGGGTCAGCATAAGCCTGGCGAAGATCCTCGTTAGATGTTACAGGATAATGGGATTGGTAAGACGTTAACTCTCCTTGCAGACGTGTTTGTAACGAAACATGCGAAGCTGAAGGTGGAGGCAGGTTTTGACTATAGTAATCAACCACATTTTCTGGACACTGAACAATTTCTCTCTTCCTTGTCAATTGTAATGTCTGATACTCACCTCCATATCCGGCAATTTGAACCCTTTGAATAAGGTCCGGGATTTGACCACACCTGTAATAATAAATGCAATGCTAGAATTGTGAATGAAAATCATTTTGAAGCTCAAATGGAAATATTGGGGGCATGAAGACCAAACAACTTAATCTAAGCAAAGTCATCATTCAATTGACTCAACAAGCTCAGGTTACATGATATGCACTTAAAACCACCACACGGCATCCCGTTCACACCATGACACATATGAATGGAATCAAATTGAATAAGAAAAACCAACTTCACTTCACCTCTAACTTATTTATCAACAACAAGCATGAAATAAAGATGGCATCTTTTGAAAGAGCCAAAAGAGGAAGCATTAGCAAGTTGCAAACAACATCTTCAAACATATCACTTAAATTTCAAGAAGCATTTCCTAATATAGAGCATGCATGCTACAATAAGTTCTATGTACACTAAAATGCGTGCAAAAAATCCTTTGGAAAATCAGTAAACAATAAAATACTAAATGTCCTTTGAGGCCTATTTCCATGATTTCAAAGTTCAAAGGCATGCCAGGTTCACAACTATTGAAAATGCAAGGTTTCACTTTTTTTCTTTAAGTTTTGTAATGAAATTTGATAATAACAGAAACCATTATGATGGTAGGCGGGGCACAGCTGACTCTATAGTGCAAAACGTCAAGAAGATTGCTTAAGAAATTATTAACCATAATCATAGGATATGTTGGTTTATGAAGGAATTACATTAGTTCACAGTTATCACATAGAAGTTTCATCATACATCAATACTTGTTTAAAACCAAGAGCACTTCTTGAAGATAAAAAATATTACGAAAAAACAATGGCACAGAGAAAAAGCCAGAAAAATTAAAAAAATATAGTACCTTCCATAAGAATCCTGAACAGGACAAGGAAGTTGTCAGACAAGTAAGGCTGATGTGCTTCTGTCAATAATATGGTCACTACGATGAGGAAAAGCATCCTGCTGAACATGTCGAACCTCCATAGGAGGTAACACCGCTCAAGAGATGTATCTGGTGCATGTTGGTCATATGGTAGGCGTGAGATCACCTGTTCTGATCGAAAAACAGGACCGGCAAGGCACCGCCATGCACCCCAGGGAACTGTGTGCCACTTGGAAGAGCGCCATGCTGGTAGCTGAGCTGTGGGAATGTATGTGGCGTGACCGCATTGGATAGAGTGGTGGCAGCTGTAGCTGATGTAAGGGGGCGGAACAAGGAAATTAAAGTTCTCACCTACATTAGAATGTACCAGCAAATTACAAAAACAAACTGTTTCAATTAAACTACAGGGATAGCAATACTTTCCAATCATAATAAATGAAGAGCAAAAGATTATAAATCAGAATTCCTTTTGCTGGTCAACTCTTCTGAACTTGGAACCATGGTAATTATCTTTAATAGCATGTTTAAAGCTTTCTCAGGAAGGGGCAAACACTCCTTAAAGATCTTAAACCTCACCTGCATCCCCCACCAAATAAAGAGACACAAAGAAACAAGAAATTCATAAGCCAATAGCAAAAGAAAGCAGAAAAAAGTTGATTTATTTAAGGCAGAAGCGCATTCCTGAAAAAAAGAAATTGCACAGTCTACACAACAGCCACAAGATCTTATGACACTACAAAGAATATTATAAGGTTCATTCCCCATGCTAAGTAAGAATGTATCCAAGAATTTATTTAAAATCTTATGAACTATATTTTAATAAAAGAGCAGAAATAAAAAGAGAGTGAAAAATCATGTTTATCAGACATTAAGTTTCAGATATACAAGAGGTGATTTGGAGTCTCTCATTTATTCAAATCACATGCCATGAGAGCAGAGAGACAAAGACTTAATTTTGTGAGAAATTTCAGCCTTTCAAATCATATTGACATGCCTAGACATCTATTGAGAGTAAACAATCAACCATTCAATATAAAACTTACAAGTAACTACGTGCACTCCATCTTCCATATTCTTCTTTCTACTTTTAACTCATCAATATTAATCTTAGATATCATCTCAATGAGTATTGCACATCATCACTTCATCTTTCTCTGCCTTCTGTCTTAAAGCTTATATTTCTAACCTACTAATATTATTCAATTCCTTTTCCTCACTTTCAAGTCATATTTCTTCAATGTTCTTTTTTTCCTTACATAATTATCACATAAAATACATAGGAAGAAAGAAAAACAATATTTGGCTCAAAATTTCAAGCATCTTATGCGCTTGATGAAATATCACAATAGCTGCCACAACTAAGCCATCGAGGATATGATGATTGTTTATGTCAAACTAATACTCAAGATGGAGTTTTCAACAAAAACAGTTATGAAATTGAGTGAACCCCTTCGCATTTATAAACTAAGGGATTATAGACAAAATTTAGTATCAATTCATCCAGCCTTTCGATCTCATAGTAAATCTAGTCATATCGGGTGCGTTCAGCCACACGGTATTGGATAGTTTTAATTTCTGGAGATTGGGTTAGATTGGATTGGCGTATGTAAAGTTGACCTTGTTTAATGTAATCTTGTACTAGGCATATTTATCCAAACATAAACTCACTGTTAAACTATCTAGATAAAAAAATTAATTGAATACTTTAAATAATATATTAACATTACTAATATATTTCATTTTTTGTTAAATATTTCTAAATACATGTTATTCAATATAATTACAATTGATTATTACATAGTTATAATTATTTAAGAATATTAATTAATTAAAAATTAATACAACTACTCTACAACCATTCAACACTCAAAAGTCGAAAAGCTAAGGAATATAAGAACTGCATTGGCAGCAAATGGTACGATGCACTAGTATGCAAAGCAAAAGGGACTAATTCTTTATTCCTATTGCTACCTCTCTAGGTTGCCTTCAATATCAAAAGTAGGAATTCTATTCCTTCATACATTAATCATCATTTTGATAAAAGAAAAAAAAAAAAAAAAAAAAAAAAAAAAAGAGAGAGCCTATCTAAGTTAGACAAGCACAACTTAAACAAATATGAATAACGTTTGAGCTCAATCTAATATACGATTAATTTAGTTAGAAAAGATGTAGACATCACATTATTTCATCTCATGTGCAAACGCAAGGGAAGTCCAAGCAAATATTAACCATGCAACTAACTTAATTTACAAAATCTTAGAGATCTTTCAACTCAACAAAGATGAAAATAGTAGCAAGTTCACTCTAAAGTCAACACAAAAAAATTAATTGGACACTCAATATAGTGTACCACATATTATATCACATCATATATTCCACCCTTTTACCATTTATAATATCAAACATTGCTAATGAAGAATCATTTTTTACCTGTGCAGGAAATTTCCCATTGAATGCAGCAGGTTCCAAGCCCAACTCTCCTTTTGACGCTGCCTTGTAAACCCCATAAAGAAGCTTTAAGTCAAAGTCAAATAAGAAAAGCTCTGAACCCGGCTTTATTTTCTCCACAATTTCCAATTGTCCTCTTGGTAGCCCGAAGACACGATTTCGATAGCATTCAGGCTTTGTTTTTCCATTACACATGAATATAAACCCTGGAGTTCTAACTATACTTTCATTCTCTTTCATTCTTTTAGTAGCTAGATTGTCATGAGCAATAGTAGAGGACGGTGTAGCAACAACGGGTATGACATCAGGAACAAGCACAGAAGTAGATGAAGGGCCATCAAGAGGTATGGGCGTTGATTTTATCTTTAAATTTGTTTTCTTCCTCTTCCTAGATCTATTTACAATCTTCTTACTTGGATGTTTTATAGGTGAACCATGGACTTTAAACTTCTTGCCTTTCTTCTTTGCCATAGCCTAGCTGTTGCCTAAAAACCAATTGAAAAAAATCAAAGGTGAACAATAAGTCATATTTAAATTTAGTCAGATTCCCAACCTAAGGAAACAAAGCTCAAGTAGGTTATTACATAGGCTTAGCCTTCACTATAGCCTTTTTTTTATATAACTAGAAACCTCACATGTCTATGCACTTAGTTCAAAAATTCATTGAGATCCGACAACATATTAATTGATAGGAATCCATAATACAAAATTGCACGAATATGTCCCCAAGGTTAGGCTTGGCAGCTAAAGCCCTTGGTTTCACCTAAAAGGTCAAAGGTTCAATCCCTAGAGATATTATAAATCCCACAATTTTCTTGGATCAAGGTTGTCGGATCTAGAAGTAACCCCAATTTAGATTTTGTGAACAAGTTGGGAAGGAAAAAAAATTTTGGGCATATTAAAGAAGAAGAGGAAAAAAAAAAAAGATGTGACCTCAATAGAGTTTGATCCTCAAACCGCTTGTATTGAATACAAGGGTTATACAGTTAGACCCAATCCTTAAGGTTGACTTCAAAGTTATTCTAATAATAATATAACACTATGGTAGCACAAAACTATGAGAAAAAAAGAACATACAACACTACATGGCACCAAAGATAGAACATCATTCCTATTAAAACCAAATTTTTGATATTCAATCAAAAACAACTCATTGAATATCTTTAGAACATGCATAACCTCAACTTAGGAATTATAACATCTCAATCACTCTCATAAACTTGATAAAAATTATTCCTAAATTATCTAGAATTAGGCACAAAATACCAAAAGACAATTTTCCCAATTATATATAGAGTTATAAAGTCATTTTGTTCTCTTTTTTTGAATTAAATGAAATATAGGTTTCTTTACTTCTTCTATCAGTGATTTGAACCAAATATGTGTCTTTCATTCATCCATTTAAAAAAGTTGAGTTGTCTAACAAGATTTCCAAGTAAGCCAGTTAGGTTAACTTGTTAGGTTAAATTTCTTACAAACCTTAGCAAATAAGTGACAGTGAAAGTCATCATTTAAATTAAGCTAGAATAGAAGCGTAGTTGATTAAGATTGAAAAAGAAAATAGCAAAAAGAAAAGTTACCAAACATCCTTATGCACCAGGAGTTTTATGGTTAACCATCACTACCTAGGTACGTACATAAAAGATTAGTATGCTCCAAACAATCTGAAAAACCACTAAAGCCCAACACCTAAAGTTATATCCTCAAGCTACTATAACTCTTCCAACTACATCTTTTTAACTCTTCCATCGATTTCAACGATTGTCTCCACTTTTGCAACCAAGCCAATCCATCTTCAACAACCAAGTTATACAACACTTCAAAACTTTAGTAAATACCACAATGTGAATGGCTTTACAAGTTCATCCGGCACACCAACTCTGAGCATCAATTGACATACAAAAAATCTAACAAAACCATTAAAATCACCCTTTAACAGAGTCCTCATTCATCGCTCACAGAAACAAAAACAATTTGAATTCCTCTCTTTCTACTAGTGCACACTTTATCAATAGACCCTCTCTAAAATGCAAGATATTAACAAATATCAGCATCAAATCACTCTTAAAACACGAGACACGTTACAAAATTCTCTCTAAAATCTTTGATATACGTCAAGCCTCTATATGTCAAATGCAAGACATCCACTGTCTAAAATACTCCAATTCTATGTATCTCCCACACTTCGTATGGCCTTCAAATCAGCATAATAACAAAGAAACGCGTGGCAAACAAACACAATTCAACGCATAAACAATAAATTGAGAAAAAAATTCAATTAATAGTTTTACAAGCGAAGCTGCACATAGAATTCAATGCGAATTTCAAGAAAATTAACCAAAAAAATGAGACAAAAAACACAATCCAATGCAAGAAAAAATAAAATGAGAAAAAAAAAATCAATTTAATTATTCAACAAACAAAATACAGATAGAATTGAATTCGAATTTCAAAAAATATAAGAGCCGGATTCTATTTTAAAAAAAAAAAAAAAAAACCTCCAAATTTCGGACGAAATTTTGGTGAGGAACCGAACGGGAACTGGACGAGAGGCTGGACGGAGTTTATTTCTATTTAAGAGACAGTTGGAGAAAACGGACGGCTAGGATGACGCTACGAGGGCGATACTGTTGCAAGCTGATTTTATTTCATCTTTTAGAAAAATCTGTTGTGTCAAATTAAAATTTAAAAGGTGCTATTTGTTAAATTTCAATTTTATGTCTTCGTTTGCGTTGAGATTTAAAAATTAGATTCAATATTTTCAGTTTCAAAAATATGTTTATTTAATAGTTAAAAACTATTTTAGAGTTAAAAGTAATGAAGAACTAAAAAATTTTTTTATGATTGTATTTCAATAACTGTTTTAGGAAATCTTCTGACTCATTCTTAACTCTTAAGATATGCTTTTAATTATTTCTTTTCTTTGCCTTCAAAAAACCGATCCTACTAAAATTATATATTACATAAACAAAATTTTATATTGAATCAATAACACAAAAAAGAAAAAGATATTGTAGGGTCTGTTTGGTTTGTTATTTTAGATAGGATTTTGTAAATAATATTAGATAGTTGAATAGGGTGATTATTACGAGGTAAAATTTAAAATTTAACAAAAAAACCCCTAGGTTTGCTAATTTAACTAAACACCCTAATATATAAAAATTTTATAAAATAACAAAAACACCCCCACTCACCTACAGTGCCAGATTCCGGCCACCACTGTTGGAATCTTGTCGGAATCTGGCGTTACGACATAGATCGGTCAGATCTGGCTAGACGTGCATCGATCTGGCCTTTTTCGACCATATTTGTGGTGGATCTAGTCGAAAAAGGTCAGATCGATAGTTAGATCTGGCTATCAACGGCCATAAAAAGGCCAGATCGGTAAATTACCAACCAATTCTGATCGTTTATAGGCCGTTGTGACAGATTTCGGCTACCACCGACAGTGGTTGCCGGAATCTGGCAACTATAGGTAGGTGGGGGTATTTTTGTTAATTTTTAAACTTTTTTTTGGGGGTGTTTATGAAATTAATAAACTTAAGGGGTCTAAAAGTAATTAAAAAATATATAATATTATTTCCTAAATAATTAAACAAACAGTTATTTTGGGAATATGATATGAAATAATAAACCAAAAGGATCGTCATTTTTCTTATTCTTATTAATAATAATTTCAGTTTAAAATCCAATATTTAGAATATTAATATATAGAGTTTAAAAAACTACTATTTTCAATTGTTTTATTCTTTCCAATAATGTATAAAAAAAATTATACAAATTACATCTCCTATTTAATACATGGTTATTAGTATCCTACGATACGAGTCGCCAACGATATGTATCAGAGAGTGTATCCTAAATCTTTCAATACGTTGATATGTATCCTACGATATAATACGTATCGGTTCATATCCTTAAAAATATCGATACAAATCGATACAACTTTATTAATTTGGGCCAAAGGCCCAACAAGTTTTTCAGTTCGGTCTGAGTCACCTAACCCGGTTCACTAAAACCTACCTAAATTTACCCATTTTACATGGAGAAAGTGAAGAGTAAGATGTGTTGTCCATTTTGCATGATAATAATAACATAAGTGGAGATATAGATATTGACATTAATCTTGTAAATGATATGAATGATTGAAAGGAAATGATATAGAGTGCGTTTGGCTTATTATTTCTATTCATATTCCCAATCATATTCTCCAAATATTGTTTGACACATTATTCCAGAAATATTACTATATTTTTTTAATTTCTTTTAGACCCCTTAAGTTTATTAATTTCATAAATACCCCCCCCCCAAAAGTTTAAAAATTAACAAAAATACCCCAATCAACCCATACTTGCCAGATTCCGGTAACCACTGTCAGTGGTAGCCGAAATCCGTACAACGGCCTACACCACGACCAGAACTTGCCAGCAATTCACAGATCTGGCCATCGTTGACCGAAAATGACGGTCATATCTTTGGCCTTTTTCCGGCCATCAACGACCACATTTGGCCATAGATTTGGCCTTTTTCGGCCAGATCCGTGGTGGATCTGGCCGGAAAAGGCCATATCAACGCATTACAACACAGATCTGACCGGTCTGTGTCGTAACGCAATTTTCCAGCTAGATTCCGACAGTGGTGGCCGGAATCTGGCACTGCAGGTGATAGGGGTGTTTTTGTCATTTTACATGTTAGGGTGTTTAATTAAAGTAACAAACCTAGGGGTTTTTTTATAAATTTTTAAATTTTACCTCGTAATACTCCCCTATTCAACAACCCAATATTATTCCCAAAATCCTATCCAAAATAATAAACCAAACGCACCCATAGATTCTTAATTTTGTGATTAATTTTGATTATGTAATATCATAATTTAAAGCCAATAATATCACAAAATTAATTAATTAATCTTGGGATGACATTAATTCTTTTTTTAAAATTATTATTATTTAAAAAAAAAAGTATATCATACAATATGATATAATACACGATATATGATTCGAAAAATTAGGTTTTTTGATACACGATACAATGCATGATTTGACAATCATGATTTAATATAACATATTTTATTCATTTATTTATTGAACAAGTAATTTGATAAAGCGATAGCATCCAGCTCTAAATTTTAGTTGTTGGATATTGCTTATAGTTGGGTTTCAATCAAATTAAATAGGATATATTTAATTAGTATCCATCATAGTATTTATCTAAGATTTATACAAATATTAAACCTTGGTGCTTATAAACCTGGAGTACGCCCGTCATAGCAATATTTCGTCATTTTACAAGTATAAGAATTATTGGAATCCTTCATATTTCATCATTCTCTTAGTATAAGAATTATGGTAATCCTAATTTCGTGAGGATTTGGTTTATTAACAGTAAGTTTAGGAATTTGAAGTTAATTGGTCTGATTTTTTTTTTATTACTGTTGTAAACTTCACTATTTTATTATCAAAGCTCTATATATATATATATACACACACTGAGCTAATCTTCATATACTAAACGACAAAACCACAAACCCATTATGACTTGACCAATAATTTGTAATATTGCACACAAAATTGAATATGTTTCAACAAATATTATTCATCTGAAAAAATGTGGACAAAAAAATCTTCCCTGATAAACCCTAAATGTATAAAAATGGGAAGAAACCAACAGACAATACCAGAATCTAATGTGGACTCCGTAACTGCCTATTGATTCAACCAACCTGCTTCATGAATGTGTGTTGCTTCCTCATTCACCAATGGGGGAGCTACGATACATTCATGACAAAAGATAAATGAATATTCTTTCACATTTGAAATTTATGATCATCGTCTTCCTCTCCTACCATTCCCACGATTGCCTCCTCAACCCCCTCGGCCTCGTGACCCTGGCCTATCTGGTTTTCAGCCCTAATGATTGTATTCCTCTCCTCTTTACATGATGTGCCTCTTTGTCCTCCTTATCTTCCTCGTACTTGGTCGAGTTTCTAGTAATGAAAGAAATCTCTCGCCAACCTCCTGGTCCCAACTTCACATCACTTGGGAGACCAGAAGCCTGCCGATCATTTTGGAGAGCCTTCAACCTCTCTCCCATAGGAAGAGCGTCCTCTTTTGCAAGTGATACACGGTTCCAAAATGCTTCAGATTGCTAAAACCTCAATTTTCCCAGCTTTTCTGTTGAATGGGTGAGATACTGAGTATCCAACTTATAACATCCTATGGTAGGCACCAGTTTCCATGAATTCACAAAGAACTGGTTTCCCTAGTTAATATATAAACCTAGAATTCTAGATGCTACAACAATTCAAAGCTCAAATGAAATTTCAAAATTTTCTTCTTTTGACAGGGAAATACGTTCGAGTTAATATGCTAATATCAAGTACTAAAGGTGGGAATTACACCTCTAGCTCCTCCCAACAAATAATTAGTATAACCCTCATCCAAAATTTAAACAATTGTAGCCCCTTTTGGGGGATTAAAAAAAAAAGATTACACAAATTCCCACTTTCAAAGTTACGTCTTGTGCATTGCATTTGTAAGATGGTTTGCAAAAAATGTCTTACAAATGCAATACATTATCTTGGGTGTCTTGTAACAAACAAGAAGTCTTGCAACAAGCTAATGGAGAAAGGTTAGTATATTTGCTATTTCACAAGAGATGAAAGCTCAGTGAAATGTAACGATAAGGTTAGAACTCATCATAAATAAAACCACTACAACAGATAATATGAAAATTAAGAAAATTATAATATTAAACTTGACAACAGAAAGTAGAATCAGATAATCAGATTATTATACCTTAATTTCAAACATTGCTACAAATCGTTCATCTTTGAAAACATCACTGCCAAGGCCTTTCTTCTTCTTGGATTTCTTCTTAGTCTCGTTGTCATCAACATCTTTACTTTCATCTTCAGCTTCTTCATTTTCAAGGATACGAGCTGCAAGACCACAGTTAACATTGGGTAATTTCCTTTTAAGCTGCATCAAGAAGGATATATGTATTTGTTGAATTTCTAAGATTAGAATGTGAAAACTTAAGAGTTATCTAGGCATTATCTAGTTTTAAAATTTAAAAGTTAGGATAATCGTAGCTTAGGGTTATCAAGATATCTCGAGTTAGTCTATAACTAGAGATGTATGATATGTATTTCTTTAAATGAATAAAAGTGAAGTTTTTCCACTATTTTCATGGCATTAGAACCAGGTTCTCTGGCCATAGCAATTAATGGTTAAAGCAGCCATGACTGGTGGCTAGCAAGCCATAGTAATTGATGGTTAAAATAGCCATGACTAGTGGCAGGCAGGGTAGGAGCCTAAGCCACATGATCGACAAATTTCTTCTTCAGATCTAAGATTTGGACAAACAAGAGTCTAGCCTCAGTTAAATGATAACAATTCCATTCAAATTAGTGTTCACAAATTGAACGGAAACAATTATATCCCATGGTCTCAAGCTATGAAGTTGATGGTTCGAGGTAGAGGAAAATTGGGTTACCTAACTGGAGTAGTCAAAGCTCCGAAGGAAGATAATCCAGCAAATGAAAGTAGGATGCTGAGAATAGTACAATAATGGCCTGGTTGATCAAATCCATGGAGAAGGAGATCGACCAGCTCTATTTGTTTCTTCCTACTACAAAAGATATTTGGGAAATAGCCAAAGAAACATATTCAGACATGGGGAATTTAGCACAGATATTTGAGATAAAATTAAGTTTGAGAGAAACCAAACAAGGTAACATGTCTATAACCCAATATTATAGTGTATTGGCTAAGTTGTGGCAAGAGTTGGATTTATTCTGAAGCAGATCGGAGTTGCTCTCAAGACAAAATAAAGTACACCAAGATGTTGGAAAAGGAGAGAGTGTTTGAGTTCCTTGCAGGGCTGAATAAGGAACTCGATGAAGTGAGAGGTAGGGTTTTGGGAAAAGAATCCTTACCTTCTATTTGTGAAGTGTTTGTAGAAGTAAGAAGAGAAGAAAGTAAAAGGAAAGTGGTGACGGGAGATTTAGCAAGAACTAGCAGTTTGAGTACACAACCAGAATCAAAATCCTCAGCACTTGTTTCTAAGGGTTGGTAGACACATACCAATCCTAGTGGAGATCAAAAACTGTTGAGAAAAAGAGAGAAAATCTAGTGTGAATATTGTCATCAACCAAAGCATACTAAGGCTACCTGTTGGAAACTACATGGCAGACCATCAAATTGGAAGACAAATCAGCCTAGTGGTAAGAGATTTCATGCTAATGTAGAGAAAAATACATCTCAAAAAGTTGAGGATCATCTAAGGCCTGTACCATTCAGCAAAGACCAATTAGAACACTTACATGAGTTGTTTAGATAGTCCAGTTCTGGTTTTTCAAGTCATTCATGTTCATTTGTTGAGACTGGTAATTCCCTTACAGCTTTGCATACTAGTTTGGGAACAAACAGACCTTGGGTTATAGATTCAGGAGCCTCAGATCACATGTCAGGTAACTCAAGTGTGTTTGTGTCTTATAGCCCATGTTATGGTAATCTTAAGGTCAAAACAGCTGACGGTTCCTTGTCAAATGTAGCTGGTAAAGGATCAGTCAAACTCTCCAAAAATCTTTGTTATAAATTCTGTCCTTCATGTTCCTAGCCTGTCTTGTAATCTATTATCCATTAGCAAACTAACCAAAGACTTAAAATGTGTGGCTAAATTCTCTTCTTCCCACTGTGAATTTCAAGACTTACTCTCGGGGAGGATGATTGGCAATGCTAGAGAAGAAGGAGGGCTCTACTACTTTGATGAGAAGGCTAATGTGAATAATCCAACTATAGCATCGGTGTAATTCTGCTTCTGTTTCTGGTAATTTAGAAATAAAGTTATGGCATAGAAGATTAGGCCATCCTAGTTTTTCTTATTTGAAAATGTTTTTTCCATTATTATTTGAAAATAAAAATTCATCATTATTTCAATGTGAAATCTGCCAAATTGCAAAGCATATACTCGTTTAATGTATCTAGCAAATCCTTATAAAAAGTCCAGACCTTTTTCTTTAATCCATAATAATATTTGGGAACCCTCTAGGGTTACAAACATTACAGGATCTAAGTGGTTTATTACCTTCATTGATGACCACACTAGACTAAGTTGGATATATATTTTCAAAGAAAAAATTGAAGCAGGTCAATTTTTTTCAAATTTTTCAGAAGTTTCATTCCATGGTTAAAACTCAATTCCAAACACAGATTCAGATCTTAAAGACTGATAATGGTAGGGAGTATTTCAATTATATCCTAGGAAGTTATCTATCCAGCCATGGGATTATACACCAAAGCTTATGTGTAGATACCCCACAATAGAATGAGATTGCTGAAAGGAAAGATAGGCACCTATTAGAGGTTGCTCGGGCCTTGATGTTCACCATGAACATGCCTAAATATTTTTGGGGTGAGGTAGTCCTCACAGCCACCTATTTAATCAATAGGCTGCCTTCTAGGAGTTTAGAGTTCAATACTTCTCTGTTTGTCTTCCTTGAAACATTTCCCACCTTTAGAGCCCTCAAATCTTTTCCTTCATAAAATTTTGGGTGTACCACATATGTTCATGCCCATTCTCCGAATAGCGGCAAGTTAGAACCTATGGCCATTAAATTTTTGTTAGGGTACTCTCCCATACAAAAAGGGTATAAGTGTTTTTGCCCCTTAAGAAAAGAACGTTTATTTCTAAGGATGTGACTTTTTTTTAGTCTCATCCTTATTTTCCCAACACTTCTCTTCAGGGGGGGAACTTAAATGAAGATTGTTTTCGGGAAATAACACTTCCCATAAGTCAGAGTTCTAATCCTACTTCCACATCAACACCTCTAAATCTGAATTTACCCCTAATTCAACATCTTCTAACTATACTAGATTCTAAGGTTATAAGTCCTATTTCTATTAGAATAGAAAATCATGAAGTTGTAGGTCAGAAACACATAAAGACAGGGGAAGGATTAGCAAGACTCAATCAGCCAGGACTAAAATTTTATTCTCAAAAAGCTGATCATCAAAGTAATGAGCATCTTAATGATCTGCAAGGCCAATTATCCCAACCAGAAGAAGTCATTGACTTATAGTCTCTAGTTGAAAAAGTTTTGTCTCCTAGTAAGTCTGAATCAAGAGATGATCTTCTTATAGCTCTTAGAAAAGGCATTCGATCTTGTACTTTACATCCTATTTCTAAGTTTGCATCCTATGATAAATCCTTTGGTTTTCGTGCATTTGTTACTAATCTTTCAACTATAGAAGTTCCAAAATTAGTATATGAAGCCTTGGATGATCCTAAATGGAAAGAGGCTGTAATGGAGGAGATAAAGGCCCTGGAAAAGAATGGGACTTGGGAGTAGGTGAGCTTACCAGAAAAGAAGACTATTGTTGGCTACAAATGAGTTTTTACAGTGAAATACAAGGCAGATGGAACAGTTGAGAGATATAAGGCAAGTGTAAAACCCCTCCCTAGCCAGGTATTTCCTTATCCCTGAGCCATTGAGAGCCTAAAAAAGACACGCCTAGCAAATGAGTTTGTTTCAAAACCTATGCTTTTGTCTGTTTTTTTTTTTTTTTTTTTAAAGCATGATATTAAACATCCCATAACCATTAAATGATTCAAAAAATTTAGCTTCCTACGGAGTTAATGTCATAAGTATATAATATCATTTAACCTTTTTCATTCATTTGACAAGGAAATGGTCATATTAGGTTTATTAAGACATATTTACTTCAACATCCATAAACCAAAAACCATTTGATGTTATTTTTACAACAAAAAATCAAAACATAGCAAAAGCATTCCTTCATGTGCATGTCATTCCCCAGTAGCCTCTCCTAACTTCAAGCTTCAATCCTTACCTGCAAAACATTTAAAAAAAAAAATTTGTAGGGTGAGCGCTAATCGCTCAGTAAGTGAATATGGCCATTTATAAACTATTAATGTTTATTATACAAGCATATTATTCAGGACCTTACCTACCTACAAAACATGACCTTCATTCATTGACATTATCAAGTTTATAAAATATGTCATACACTTTGGACTTTCCTCATAAACATAAGTCATAACATAACCATACATAATATAACATAGACCATATATGACTTATGCAATATTCATAAACATGGCATGCCTATTTCTTTTATCTTTGTACTTGATGTTTTCATTAGTCTTTATTATCCGATTGGATTCATTTGAACCATTACCTTGTTTTTGGTCGTCACCTTAAAGGACTCATGGTTTCCACAAAGATTTCATTCCTCTGGTCTTGGTTTATACCTCAAGAGACTAGTGGAATTCATTCTTTAACATTTCATAAATTTTTTCGTAAGTCAACTAAATAAGCTATATGCATTACCATTATGAATGCAAACATATGGGATAACATCTCCCAAGCTCAATCATACTATTCATTCATTTAACATGTACCCTTGGCCAATTGCACAATTCATCAATCAATTTAGCAAAACTCCATGACATGAATATTTTCTTATTAGATTCATTAACTTAATTCATTCGATTTCTCATACAACACAAGGAATTTCAACAATAAGATTATTTAGTGGTTTATTAGAAATTATAAAAAAAAGATGGGAATTTTCATTAAGGAGGTGGATGCCATACAGTTCGTCTTTTTCAAGTAATTTTTTCCTCATCTTCCAATTCGAATTGATTTTTGGCTAAAACATAAAAGTTTTAGGTCTATTTCTCAAATTTTTAATACCTCAAGAATCAACTCAATCAGACTTTTATAACTTCATTTATGACTGATTCAGCGAAGCATGTTCAGTATAAATCTTAAAAAGCCAAATCTGAATTCTATTCATTTTTAACCATGTCACATTCATTTGCACATTCATAGTATTTGTCATATCATTCTAAGTATAAAAGGCCATAAAAACCTCCCTTTTTACAAAACCAAAAAGTGCCAAAACATCGTCCAACTACAAATCTCTTAATTGGCATAATCATCCTCCATATGCACACATACACCCAATCAACACACTCATTTCAACAGTCCATAACCAAAACATAGCATCACACTCAAATTAACATAAATAGATGTAAGTTTCATCAACTCTAGGTGTTATCAATTGTAGTTGTAAAGGAGATTTTTTTCCTTACCTTGGTATTCAAAGCATAAAGACACTCCTCCTTAGCTCCAAAGGTTCACCATTTCTACCTTACACACATAACCACTTATGAATTTCTCTTTTAACTAAAAATAACAACAAACTAGGGTCTTAAAACTCACCTTAAACCTTGAAATTGAAGTTCTTTAAGTGTGGATGGTGATCTCCTTCAAAATTCAACTTGAAATCCTATGAAAATTTTGAGAGAGAGAGAGAGAGCTTGAATTAAAGCCTTTAATGGAGGAAAATAAGACTTGAAGAAGAGAGTTTGGTGTTCTAAGAGTGTTGGCTGACTTAACCAAGAAAAGATCTTATAAATATTTTATTTTTTTAATTCCCAAATGGGATTGGCCATCAAAGTTAGATATATGGGTCATTTGGTATAAATTTTGCATATAAAGGCATTTTGGTCATTTTTACTACAACATAATTATTACACTCCTTTAATGTCATTTGACTTCTCTTTTCTACTTGGAGACAAAGTAAATCCATAAGATAATTAACTAATTTACCCATAATACACTTATATGCAGTTTGGTTATTTTTACTACAACATAATTATTACACTCCTTTAATGTCATTTGACTTCTCTTTTCTACTTGGTGACCAAGTAAATCCATAAGATAATTAACTAATTTACCCATAATACACTTTCATGGATACTTAATTCCTATAAATTATTGTGAAAAGACCATTATACCCCTTGGAAACCGTTTATGTCGTTTAACCCTACTAACCTCTTTCATGACCCTTTAATCATATTTCTTATCAGTATCATCAATTCTTAACACTTTACAACATTCACGTCTCATAATACATGCAAAATGACCATTTTACCCTTTTATTGATAAAAATCATTTTAAGGGTAGAATTACATACCTTATAGCCTCGGAACGCTAACGCGGGGGTTTACAGCAAGAATGGTAGCTAAGGGGTTCACACAAACCTATGGAGTAGATTATCAAGAGACTTTCGCTCTTGTAGCCAAACGGAACACCATTAGAGTGCTTCTATCTCTTTCTACAAATTTAGATTGGCCCCTACAACAATTGGATGTTAAGAATGCTTTCTTGAATTGTGATCTTGTAGAAGAAGTTTATATGGAGTTGCCATCAGGTTTTGAAGGAAATCAGGCTGACGGGAAGGTGTGCAGGCTGAAAAATCTTTGCATGGCTTAAAGTAGTCTCCTACGGCCTGGTTTTGAGAAATTCACTAAGGCTATCAAGAGTTGTGGTTTTATTCAAGGACAGGCTGATCATACATTGTTTTTAAAGACTAAGGGTGGTAAGATTACTATCTTAATAGTATATGTTGATGATATTATTCTTACAGGGTATAATCTTGAAGAAATAAATATGGTAAAAAAAGTTATTGCTCAGAACTTTGAGATAAAGGATTTGGGGCAGCTAAGATATTTTTTAGGTATAGAGATTGCAAGGAATAAGAAGGGAATTTATGTGTCTCAGAGGAAATATGTTCTGGATTTATTGAAGGATATTGGAATGTTAGGTTGCAAACCTACCGAGACCCCCACTGAACAGAATGTGAAATTTGATGAGATAAATGGAGATACACCAGTTGATAATGGGAGGTATCAAATACTAGTTGGGAGATTGATATAGTTATCTCATACTAGGTCTGACATTACATTTTTTGTAAGTGTTGTAAGTCAGCACATGCACAATCCACAAGAGAAGCATCTTGAGGCTGTAAATAGAATCTTAAGATATATGAAGAAAGTTCTTGGAAAAGGACTGTTCTTTAGGAAGACTAATGAAAGAAATGTGGAAGCTTTCACAGATGCAAACTGGGCAGGTTTAGTGAGTGATAGAAGGTCAACCTCAAGATATTGTACATTTGTTTGGGGAAATTTGGTGACTTGGAGGAGCAAGAAGCAAACTGTAGTAGGAAGGAGTAGTGTGGAGGCTGAGTTTAGGGCAATGGCACAAGGTATTTGCGAACTAATCTGGTTGAAAAGATTATTAGTTGAGTTGGGGATCAAGAGTGAGGAACCTATGAAGCTCTATTGTGACAGCAAGACTGCAATTGGTATTGCACACAATCCAGTTCATCATGACATAATCAAACATGTGGAGATAGATCGCCACTTTATCAAAGAAAAGATAGAAGAAAAGCTTTTGTGTGTTATATATCTACCTACAAGCCAGCAGACCGCCGATATCCTTACAAAAGGATTGTCTAAACAAAGTTTTGATAGTCTTACCTCCAAGCTGGGATCTTCTCATCAGCTTGGAGGGGAGTGTTGAATTCCTAAGATTAGAATGTGAAAACTTAGGAGTTATCTAGACATTATCTAGTTTTAAAATTTAAAAGTTAGGATAATCCTAGCTTAGGGCTATCAAGATATCTAGAGTTAGTCTATAACTAGAGATGTATGATATGCATTTCTTTAAGTGAATAAGAGTGAACAAGTTTTTCCTCTATTTTCAATATTAATTAGCCCAAATCAGACCATCCTACTTTACCCAAATAGAAGAGTAAGAAAGATGGAAATCCAGGAAGCCCACGGGTTTACATTAGGGAACCATGAACTTATAAAAAAAGTCATTTTGAAACAGAACATGCAGTAAGAAATCAATTTTAATTTTTCACACTTGTCTCCTTAATAAATATAGAAATTTAGGGCCTGTTCAATATTATTTTCAAACATAGTTATCTCTTATAAAAATCTAAAAGTAGAAAAAAGAGCACCCAATAGTATATTTGAAAAACAAAACAGATTGTCCGAAAACTAGTATTAATCTCACATGTACGATTAAAAGACATTTTGATACTTCTAGAAAGCAGGGTTTCAAAAATACAAACATTTCTTATTCTGTCTCTCCAAAACGCTAGTACAAGATTGTGAACACGCAAAACTCAATTGCTTTTTTCATAGAAAGTTTTATAAAATACTTCTGAACTTGGCAGAAATATCCAGACATAAATATTCACCGTAATTCTAGATGCACGTTGCTCTTCAAGTTTCCTTTGTTTCTGCTCCTCTTTATGGGTTTCATATGCAAAAGGATCTGCTATTGCCTTTGCCTGAAAATAGAATGGCACTAGAACATATATATATATATATATATATATATAACCCAAGTATATACTGAAACAAGTTAAAAAAGTTGCCATATTGTGCAATCAAAGTATTAGAATGACAATTTTTTTTCATTCCCTCAAACAGATCTGACAAATCTGATTGATTTTTGAATGATCAACTTCATTCACTGCAATTGAATATACACATTCCCCGCAAAAACCCCAGTGGATGGAAAACAAAATGAACCTTAAAAAACATTCTTGAGTTTCCTAGGACTGTCTATATATTCCATGAAAACTGAAAATATATATTCACTGAAGCAACCTCACCTTCTTATATAGTCGATAATCAATAAAGAAGCCATGCATGTAAGCTCTTAGAAGATTGGTGCCAATCAGACTGGTCAAATTCAACTTTTCAAGATCTTCTCTAGTAAAAAACTTGTAGTTATCATATATGGTTGTTTGTCCACCTTCCTCTAGCTCTTCCTGTATAATAGACCCAAAAAAGAAAAAATCAGCACTCCAACTCAAGATTCCAAATGAAATGATCAAAAGGCAAGGTAAGAAGCAAATAAACTAAAATTTATAACACACCGTCATGTTTTCCATTGGAGCACACCATTTGGGACTAGTTCCCAAATCAGGTATGAAGTAAGCTGGTACCTGGCTGCTAGCTAAAGCCAGCAACACCAACCCGCTGTCTTTGAACACACATATATCATTTATCTTCCCACCTGATGGTTCAATCGGGGTCCTGCCTTCTCCCTGACAATGATGCTAGATCAAATAAGGTACAAGAATAGATACTAATACTAGGAAAAATTAGAGAGAGAAAACATGCATATCTATAATATAATCATCAAATAAGCATACATTTACATGATCTTGCATCTATATTTTCCTCGTAAATAAAGAATTAAAAGATCTATCACTCTTAACCATAATTATAGTTGAATGTTAAGAACCTTGCTATTTGCCGAAATTCTTATATCTTGTCCAAGTCAATAATCTTGGTCCACAAGCTGCCAGTAACAAGATCAACAGTACGCCTGACCAAAAGCTCATTGATCTAAAATAGTTCGGGGTGGTGCCATCTATATTTCTCATTTTTCTATACTTTGGTCACTACCCACCACAATGGCAATGTAAAAAGGTATTGGCCAAGAAAAGTACGTTCATGAACATTATAAGTCGAATTAATTTAGGACAAGACAAATTTCTAATACCAACGGATGCATGAAAAGAAGAGAAAATATAAAGTGGAGAAAAGAATTAGATGAGACTGGAGAAAAATAAAAAAGAGAGAAGCAATCCAGTCTTTCGATTAATGTGGATTCAAACAGTGCTTTACACAAATAAAAGTTATGAGGCCCACCTAAAGTGTGTTTGTTTTAATATTTTGGATAGTATTTTTGATATTTTTAGAGTTGGGTGGGAATAACGAGTTAAGATTTAAAAATTAATAAAATCACCCCATAGGTTTGTTAAATAATTGAACACCCTTGTAATAAAAACATTAAAAATTATAAAAATACCCCCACTCACTCATTAAATTCTGGCAGCTGGCCACCACCATCGGAGGGTGGCCGGAGTCACCGTATCTGCGCACGATCGGCTAGATTTGGCCGGTCGTGCACCAAGATGACATTTTTCAACCAAATCTACCGTGGATCTGGCCATGTTTGGTTGTCAACGATAGCCAAAGATATGGCCGTCGTTGACAACCAGCTATGACCAAAGATCTGGCCGTCAACGACTAGATCTTTGGCCATGGATCTGGCCGAAAAATGATAGATTGGCGCACTACCAACCAGATCCAACCGGTAGTGCGCCATTATACCAGATTCCGGCCACCTTTTGGCGGTGGTGGCTAGAATTTAGTAAACGTGGGTGGATGGGGTGTTTTTGTCAATTTCTAAACTTTTTTGGAGGGTATTTAATTAAATTAATAAACTTAAGAGGTTTAAAAATAGTTAAAGAAAATATAATAGTATTTTGAGAATAAGGAAACAAACTGGTATTTTGGAAATAGTATGAATAGAATAGTTAAAAATATGGAAACAAAGAGAAAAAGAAAAGAAACATGATTCAATTCAAACAACAAACCAAATCTAACCCAAAATGATAATAATCCGTTTCAAAAAGTAATATTTTATATATCTAAAGTAGATAGTTCCTAAAATAAAAAATTAGTCTTGGGTTTCTTTTATTGACATCACTAAGACTTCCGAAAACAAACTCAAAATATTACTAGGACAATTGAACAATACATATAAATTTGCATTATGAGAACCACTTTTTTTTACATCAATGGTTCAATGAATACATACTAACCGCAACAATGATTACCTAATTTAAATAGAACACAAAAAGATTATATCATTTGCAGATTTAACATTAATCATACGAACCGAAGAAACAATTCAATAACTACGATGATATATGTTGATGCGCGATTTTTGCACCAACGAAACGCACGTGTGAAATGCTGTGGTGGCCCAGAAGACACACGTGAATATAATGGATCAAGGGATAGTAAATGCAATGAGGACAGTTTTTAAAGTGGTTTGGATGCTAAGGTAGCAAATCATACGTCCACTGATACTTATATTGATGACAAGGGTCAGGTCGCGTTTAGCAGACTGACTTTACAATAATATTACAAGATATTCAATACTAAGAATTCTAGGGAAGAGAGAATAGTTAATTAAGCGTAAAATGTGCCAATCCCCCTTAATGAGAGATGAGCTTCCAATTTATAGTGAGATGTGGTGAGGCAATGATCACTAAATTTTTAAGTTGGTGGGATTATCTGTGCAAATCCTTCTTTATGTCACATTGCCCACCTTCTAGAGTGATTTGCGTGATTTAGAGTAGGCCTTGGACACATGGGAGCACCACAGCTCCTGGCTAGCCTGACGCGCACCCACTATCCTAACGGGAACAGACGGTGGTTGTCCCAATGGTCTGACCTTTGTGGGGTGAGTGGACCTGACGCCAGCCCTGGTAAATTTTGGGCATAACAATATACTTTACGAGTTGAAGTTCTTTGCTCCTCCACCGGTTAGTAATCATCTATGATACTTTCACAAGAAACAATAGAGATGTTCACTTAAGTTTATTAATCCATGAATACAAGCGTTCCAAACAATATAAGTTGAAACCAAATATAAAAATAAAAACATCTTACTGTCTATTGTAATTAACTTTGGTCGTTCAGTGTTAAGACTATGATGCCACTGAATATCCAATATTGGACTTCCATACCTGCACAGTAGTGGCAGAATTTTCAGTAAACAGACTAATTGAGTCCAAGCATGCAATAAAAGATAACGCATGAAAAGCAAGTCTCACATGTGATCCTTGATTCGTATAGGATATGAGGATTGCAAATCATAAAGCAACACCTGCATTATAAAGACTATTTTTACAAATATTATGTGGGTGTAAATGGTATCAGAGTTTTGGAAGACGGGGGGTATATGCGTTTATACCTGTTAACCTGTTGAAAGTTCTATAGCATGAATAATGGTTTAAATGATGAAGTCTGTTTAAATAAGACTTGTTTTCATTTAGATCATGGTCTCGAGGTAAAACTAGAGACCGGTTTGTTAAATACTGTCGTAGATAAGTTAGAGCTTTTGACCCAGAAGCTTGAAAACTTAGACAGGAGAGTGAATTATACGGTGTATCATATATTTGCTCTAAACGAAGAATTAACCCAGATCGGGAACCAGATTGAAAAGGTTAATTCTGTACTTCAAAAGGTCAAAACACTGGAACGTGTTTTAACTATTTTACTAAGTCGGTAAGATAGGAGATGTCTCTGGTGTTAAGCGACATCGAACAAGTGTGGCCTATTGAAGGATATACTGAACAAGAGGTTAAACAGGTTGTGTTGGACCTCTGTAACGGCAACCCAGATATTCGAGAAGAATATTTGGCTTGGCTAGGTGTAAAGCGACTTTTGGATGTTATTCAAAAGGCTTTTAGTCAAGGGTGCACAAAGATTTTGTGTTTTATTTGCCGGATTTCCACCATTGAAGTCTCTGAGCTAGAGCTTCGGAATAAGTGGTTGGAAAAAGCTAAGGCGGTAATTCCTTACTGGTACGGTGAATCCCAGCCGGATCCAAATCCTACACCATATAAAGAGTCAGACTTTGCAACTGAGTTGAGACCTGATTCAGATTGACCATGGGTGGTCAAGATGTTTTGGATCAGTTTGCGGCTAGTTTGCAGAAAAAATATCCCGGATTGCCTCCAGGATATGCATAGTTTGTGGCCAAAGAAACCCAAGGTGATTGGGAAAATGCTGAAAAACTCTTTATGAAAGGTGTCAAGGAAGAAGACTTTGTTTCTAAAATTGATGGAAAACGGAAGGTTGATATTCCAAAAATTTCTACCTCAGATGCTGAACGAATCAGCAGGTATTATGAGGAAGAAATGAAGAAACAAAGGAAAGGAGATGAAACTGGAGGATTAAAACTTACTCCAGGTCCTAAAAAGACGGAGCTCGATGAGCTAATCTCGAAACTCAAGGAGTCTGAGTTTAAAGATGACCCGCTTGAAGGAATTCATAACGCTTTAAATTCCTTTGAAGGATTCCTTAAGGAAATCTCCAAACCCGAATATAAACAAACTTATCCTACAAGGATAAGGTCGGAGTTTATACCTAGGGGAGTACCTAGAATGGTGGAGATACCGTCTAGCGGAAGTTTCCTTAACATCGATTGTGTTACGAATGTAACGGATACAATCGAAGCATGGGAAACTGTTAACTGGGTTCATATCCAAAACAAGAATTTTGGACTCAGTGATACTTACAGGTTTCTAAGATCCACACTGCAGGGAGCTGCAGAAAGCTTTTGGAGAAGTCTAGAAGCTGGTACGGGTCTGTTAGACACTGTAAATGACTTGAAGAATAGAGAGGCTATCTTTGCACTCTTCAAGGATATGCTCTGATACCATTTACACCCACATAATATTTGTAACACCCACTCTTACAAATATTATTACAATTAATAACTAATTAACCTAGTTGATTAATTGGAGAGAAAAACACATAAATTCAGTTTTAAAGATTAATTCATACCTGGGTATCAATCGTCTTGAATAAACCTTTTCTTTGCTTCGAGTAGGCAATAAAAGTAAAACAAGAGATTGAGAGACTGAATTTTTCACAAACTGAAAATATTATTAATTTTTCTCTGATTACAAATGTACAAAGCTTCTCTTTATATAGAGAAGTTCGGATTTCAAAAGCTTTGAATCCGTAGATAAAATAAAATTTTACAAAACACAATGTCAATCACAAAAGATATGTGATTTGACTTTAGCCTAATAAAAACTAATATTTATCTTAAAGAAAATGACATGGGGTCCACATGTCTCCCATGTTTAAAACAAACTTAACTTATTACATTTTACACATGTTACATAAGACATATGACACAATATTCAAGATTTCCTTTAAATATGCTTCGTTAAATTTCGTCGGCAAAATCTTGACTATCCAAGTACTACTTCCGCTTTTTGGATACACATCAGCGTATTACGTGTTGGACGTTTCCGGTTGTCCAAATCTCTATCCTCCAGATTTTTATCAATCCTTGAAATTATCCACTTCGATAAGATCAATAAAATCTTTTAGAGTCGCATCTTCTTGGGCTTCCTAGTTGTGGGCTAAGACCAATCTTAGAAGATCAATAGTTCCTTCCATTAAGGCCTACTTCGATAAATGGGCTAAATCGAACCCTTCTAATAGCGTTTTTAATTGGGTCTGATTATGTTGAAAAAGAGTATCCTGGATTAATGCGTACTTGTCTGGTCTGACTACCACTATCCCATGTTGGATATGGACAGTAGCATTTGCTTTAACAAGCTCCTCTAGTTTGGATTTAACCAGTAGCAATTTTGCAATATGCAGCCTGGTCCAATCTTCCTCTTCTTTCTTTTGGATTTCTTCTAGTGCATAAGAACCCATTTTTACCTCATTATCTAACATAATTCGGTACCATGGTTCTCCTACAAGAAATTCCCATATCTGTACAGGTTGAACATCATAGTTCTCTTGCAATGAGGAAGTAATCATGCAAGTGAAAGTGTCAACTTTCCGATTCAATACACAGAGCATTTGCTTAACCGCATCTGGCATATTCGGATCCACCATCGCTTCCTGTACGTCAATTTGCATTGTATCGATCCATCCTTTATTCAAAAGATCTCTACAGAAACCTTTTCTAAAGATTTTCCATGGAATGAACAATTCCATAGCTCTATTAGGATAAACTGCTAATCCTTGAACCACATCCGTCAAGTCAGTTTTTCCCAATTTCACTATTAATTCATTCAAATTCTCGAGTTTGAGATTTGACATGTCAAACAAATGACATTTCCTCATTACCTCAAGTTTTTGAATTCCTGCTTCATAGAGTAAGGCAGTTCCCTTGAACTCCTCATCCTCATAAAATAGTTTGTCAGCTTCCAGCCACGCTAACCTTCTTGCTAGCTTTTCTAAACACCTCTGCAGTTGTACTTCCCTTTGTCCTGTCACCATTGCGATCCTAATTTGGGTTTCCAGATCCTCCCAGAGTGTTTGACTAGCTGAAGTTAATCTTAAGCCTTCCGGAAAGCTAAACCTCTCACAAATATCTACGTCAATTAACCGCTTTTTTTGTGGAGTGTGTGTCACCACGCTTGTAGCGCCTGACGATGATTCCTCAGAATTTTTGATCTTTGACAGTGGACAATTAGCTCGTTCATGTCCTTCTTGTTTACAAGACCAGCAAACTATTGCTTTTTTCTGAGTCGTTTCCTTCTTAAGAGTAACCCTCTTTTCAGAAGTATTTCCCTTCGTAGAAGTTTCACCCTTCAATCGTTGAAATTTCGGGTTCCTTTTATCCGAAGTATCAGAATCATAGTCAAGATTCTTTCCTTCAACCTGCTTTACATCAGTAACTGCTTAGAAGAAGAAGTAACCTGCTTATCTGCAATTTTCTCCTTTTTAGCAGTAACCTTTGAAGTAGAAGTAATCTTCAAAGGGCAATTCCTTCTCAAGTGTCCTCGTTGCTTACACTTGGAGCATGAGAAGTGATTTCCAGTTTCCTTCTTGTCCGCCATTATCCTACAATCCTTCTGCAAAATGTCTGGACAAAAAGTCAGCAACAAAGTTAGATTTACCAGAAATATATTCAAATTTGATTCTATAATTTGCAAACCAAATCTGCCATCTGATTAGTCTAGCTTTGTCATCCTTTAAAGACAATTTCATAAAGGTTTTTAAAGATTTAGAGTCTGTCCTTAAAGTAAATTCCTGACTGATTACGAACAATCAAAATCGGTCAATACATTCTTTCGCTGCTAAAACTTTCTTCTCATGGACAAGATAATTTATTTCAGCAGGAGAGAATTTTCCTAAAGCATGTTGAACAATTCGTTCAATATTATCAGTACCCTTAGCCTTAAGCACACCTCCCCAATACAAGTGAGATGTGGAAATTACACAATGTAACAAAAATAATCAAATTAATGCAATTATATTCTTGGATGGAAATCCTCCAAAAGTTACTTCCCAGATCATCTTCTCGAAAGTTCAAAGCTGAAGATTCCTAACTGTTCTTGTACAGATTCTGGTACCCACTGCAAGTGATGAGTTTACCTTGTTGGGGTAAACTCCTAGTCCACACTGGTGATTTTTTCTTTTAAATTAAAATACATCTTTTGCTTCTTATCACAATTTTTTTTTCATCTAGTTATACCAGAATAAGTAAGATCTAAGCTGATAAACAGCCTATACACCTCAAAGTTATTAGAGTTGACCAACGAAAATATCGTCATAGTTTTAGAATTGAGTAATGCTACAGTTACTGAAAAGAGCACACCGAATTCATAAACTGAATAACGTGACGAAATCCTAACCATAGATTAATATTAATTCATAATTAATCGACAGTTAGGATTGCTTCACATTATTCAATACATGAATTCGATGCGCTCCTTTCGGTAACTGTATTATTTTCCTTTAGAATTATTAAAGTTGACACTATTTGGCTCTTGGCAGCTTATTACTTCATTTTACATTTTTTCTTGATATTTTTCTTCTTAAAGTGCAGAGCCCTTAGTTTATTGCTCATATTATTATCCATTCAAAATTTAGACTAACTGCTGCTAACAATATTCATAACAGCTAGGAGTGTTCACGAGTCGAGCCGAGTTTTCCGCTTAATGAGCTCGGTTCGTGAAATGGGATAAAGAATCGAGCTGAGCTCGAGTCGAGCCGAGCCGTAGATTTTATGACTCGGCTCGTAATGGATTTAAGTGTATTTCGAGCCAGCTCACGAGCCAACTCCAAAAAATTCAATTTTTTATAAAAAAACTCCTAGGCAGCGACTGTTTTTTCGAGCTAGGCTCGACTCGCGAGCCTAACGAGCCGAGTCGAGCATGGCTCAGACTCGACTCATTCTGTCTCATGAACCGAGCCAAACCGGCTCGTTATCTGACAAGCTGAGCCGAGCCGGCTTGGATCGTTAAGCACTCCTAATAACATCTACTTTTTATCATCATAAAACTTCTTTTGAAATCCTAACCAAATCTTTAACCACAAATTCCCTTAATTACACATAAATTCTACATCCTTGCCTTGGAAGTTACTATAAATCAGTCTGATCAGATAGATAAATCTTATTACCACCAATCCATGGCCCATCTTCCTTGATTCAGACATCATTTAGAAGTTGCTATGCCATCATCCATACTCATTCAACTTGAGTCACATGTCTCAAACAATCGCAGTCTTATAATCCTTTGTTAAACCTGAAATGACACCTAAGGAACTCCCCTCGGTAAAATCTGCAATCTAAAAATTTTATACAATTTTAAATTATTAGTTCTTGAAATCATTAACATTGTATTTCTCTTTGTTGCCTTATTTGCACCAAGGTTTATGGTTTATCACGCCTTTCAAAGCCCGCTAATTTTGTTTTGGACTGATTTTTTATGTATTATTTCAGTCCTATCTCTTGAAAGATCAGTCCTTTCTCTTGAAAGAGTAGGGCAGTAGGCTATCGTTAATTCATTTTGGCATATTTTATTCTTTAATTGTCAAACCCTCCTTATACCTCTCCAAGCAGTGGCTTATATTGAACGTACATATAGCAGTGTAACCCTATGTTGGAGTAAATATAATAAGCTTCACAACAAATAACTCCTTTCAGAGTCCATGAACTGACTTTTTCTAACCACAAAATTTAAGTAGATAATATTAAGCATAAGATACTATTCTGAACATTTGAAAGTATTATGTCTATTAGTACCTTCCCCGTGCTACTTCCAACTCCCATTTGGAAACCCCCATCTGTGTCAAACTGCAATGCAGTAACCTCCTGCAAAGATGGAAAATATAGTAAGATAACAATTTCAGGTGAAACAAATAGGATAGATATGCTATCATTCTTGATCATGTGTACAATACTTTCTTTCCTTCCCATCTCTGTAGACCATAACAAGAAAAAATTTGTTATGATATATTTCAGAACATCTTTTAACCTAAAGTAAGGTGAAACAGTGACCTAAAGACTTTCATGTGTGATAAACAAGGACACAAGAAGGAAAATGTATCTCTGAACAATGCACATTGGGAGCAAATACCTTCATCAAAACCAAAATGCATCTCTGAACAATGCACATTGGGAGCAAATACCTTCATCAAAACCATGTAACATATTGGAGCCAAGGATATGAACTAAAGAAAATTTACTTCCATCAAGGACATTTGTGATAAGAGAAACCATGTAAAAGACTGATAAGTACAAATTAAACTGTATCCAAAATGATAAAACTCTAAGACTTTATTGGAGACATTCTAATTTCAAATGAATATATGCACTTAGAGCAACAAGCAAATATGAGAGGGCTTGAAACCACAAGCTATTATACCAAGGGTGCAAACCTAATAGACTAAAGTTGAAGGAAAGTAGAAGCAGGGATAAGCGCACAACTCTAATTTGAATTTCATTTCATCCAATGTTGTGAATTTTCTGATAAAGCAGTATTTACACTAGTTGGATATAACTAAGCCCTAAACACACTCAAAAAATAAGGCCCTGAGGTTATCAGAACCGAGACTAAAAATATGATGCAATACCCCTAATCTTTTGTTATAAAATACAGAACTGAATAATATCAAATAAAATCCATCAAAATATTTTCTTTACAAAAAATGGCCAGCCCATTGCAAAGAAGAGCTTATCCCCATTCAGTATTGCAACAATTATTTACTAAATCATCACAAATTTTTTGCTTGGAAATTAAAAATAAGAGTCCAATCAAAATTAAACCATCACCATTTTCAAGGAATTTAAGAAGCAATTGGAACCCCTGAAAATTTGTACAAGGATTCTTTTCCAAAGTTCCAATTTCACTTTTGACAGATCAATCTCACCAGAGAAACAACCTCTAAGCAATCATAATTTCATTACAACATCCATGCTTTATGTCTCTTAGGTCCCCCTCTGTCTTCTTTTTCACAGACAGCAGTAGGGGTTAACTGTATTGGAATCTCAAAACCAATTATAAGTTGGTTTAGGCCTCTCACTCTTGTCAACAAAGACAGAGCACCAACTTCTTGTCTCTACCTCTTAACAGACACTAGAGAAATAACAAACAATTCCTATAAAAGCTATTTTAACTTGATATCATGGCCTAAAATTCCTAAAAACACTTTTCTTTTTTTTTTTTCTTTTTTTTTTTTGGCACAATAATGCATAAAGGAAGTCCGATTGAAGTTTCTTCTTCCATAATTAATCATATTTCAGAATATTTTGGCACCCACTTCTAAAACCAAATGAAAACCTGAAATTATGAAATAAAATAGCAGGGTGACTGTAACATGAAACGTTAGCACATCAAGGAAAAAGCTCATTAGAAGGCCTAGTAAATCAATAAATCCTACCATCTATTATCTAAATCAATTATAACTAATGCAAAATATATAATATAAGATGACATACTACAGAAACAGAAACATAAACGTTAGCACAAGGTTGAAGAAGATGAAAAGTTTTCAGTATTGTCTAATAAGAGGGTACTGGACGTCTGATACCCCCTATCGAACAATATCAAAATACTTATGTGAAAATTAGATATACCCTCTATAATTCTATTGGATGTTCAATACCCCACAATCAGACAATATCAGACACTTTTCATCTACTTCAACCTTGGGTTGCAAAAAGGTATCAATAACCTCTAATCATTGTTTTAAAACCCGGATCAGAGGATAATCTGTTTTGCTGTTTGGGTCACGGGTCAACCAGTTGGTTGGATCGGTGACGTCAGCAATAATTTAATTTTTTAAAAATTACATATTAATCCCTTATATTTTAATATTTACAAAAATATCCCTCAAAAATTTCAAGTTAGTCCCTAAAATTTTTATTTATTTTAAAATACCCCAAAAAATTTACCAATTTATCCCTAAACTTTTGATTTATCTCCAAAACACCCCTAAAATAACAAATTTGTCCCTATAAATTTGAAATATTACAAATACCCCCTAAACCCTGAACTAGACCGAAAAAGCTGCTTGGTCCCAATCAAACCGGTCCGGGTTTTAATACAGAGCCTCTAATAGTAGTCCCATGTTTCATAAAAAACATCAAAATTCTTCAAGTTGCAACATCTTTATTTAAAAATGGGTAACTTACCCTTTCATCCTTAAGGTTTGAAGTATATTGCATTTACCTCCAATATTATGGGATATGAACAGTTTAATCTAGTCATATGAGACTTTTTAATAAAAAGTCTGGATTAGCCTTGTTGTCTTATTTACATGTTATTAGAAAGTGAAGAAAACGTATATATAAAAGTAAATGTGCTAAAAATGGTTCCTATTATATATATAATTAATACTCTTATGAAANTCATTAAATCCGCCCCTGATTGTCTAATAAGAGTGTATTGGACGTCTGATATCCCCTATCGAACAATATCAAAATACTTATGTGAAAATTACATATACCCTCTATAATTCTATTGGATGTTCAATACCCCACAATCAGACAATATCAGACACTTCTCATCTTCTTCAACCTTGGGTTGCAAAAAGTTATCGATACCCTCTAATCATTATTTTAAAACCCGGACCGGAGGGCAATCCGTTTTGCTGCCCGGGTCACGGGTCAACCGGTTGGTTGGATCGGTGACGTTAGTAATAATTTAATTTTTTTTAAATTACATATTAATCCCTTAAATTTCAATATTTACAAAAATATCCCTAAAAAATTTTAAATTAGTCCCTAAAATTTTTATTTATTTCAAAATGCCCTAAAAAATTACCAATTGATCCCTAAACTTTTGATATATCTCCAAAACACCCCTAAAATAACAAATTTGTTCCTATAAATTTGAAATATTATAAATACCCCCTAAACCCTGAACTAGACTGGAGAAGCTGCCGGGTCCCGATTGAACCGGTCCGACCTACCGGTCCGGTCCGGGTTTTAATACAGAGCCTCTAATAGTAGTCCCTTGTTTCATAAAAAACATCAAAATTCTTCAAGTTGCAACATCTTTATTTAAAAGTGGGTTATTTACCCTTTCATCCTTAAGGTTTGAAGTATATTGCATTTACTTCCAATAGTATGGGATATGAATAGTTTAATCTAGTCATATGAGACTTTGTAATAAAAAGTCTAGATTAGCCTTCTTGTCTTATTTACATGTTATCAGAAAGTGAAGAAAACATATATATATAAAAGTAAATGTGCTAAAAATGGTTCCTATTATATATATAATTAATACTCTTATGAAAAATTAATTTTTTTTTCTTTTAGATGTATATATATTACTTGTTTTTAATTATATTTTTTTCATTTATAATAACATGTGTATAAGACAATAAGGGTATTATAAACTTTTTATTGAAAAGTTTCACCTGATTGAACTAAACTGTATTTTTTTTTTTTTTTTTGGTTAAGTTTTGAACTAAACTATTCATATCACATTATAGTGGAGATTAGTATAATATATTCAAAACCTTAAGGATGAAAGTACAAATAACGCGTTAAAAATTAACCAAAACAACCAATATTAACTACCCATCTATTAAAAAAAAAAAACCATAATTAACTGTTTTTTGCACACAAAATCGAATTAAGCATCTATTTATAACTTTAGTTTTCGAATTCTTTAATGGGGGCAAGAATTAGTCTAACTCTTGAAAAAAAAAGAAATTATATTAAATAATGCTATTTTAGGGGTGGAGTTTTTTTTCTTAGTAAATATTATTTGACTAAACTATTAAGAAATTTATTTTTAATATATTCATATTTTCGTGGAATTGTTTTTCTATATATTCTCAACACGTTACCCGTTTCAATTATCTTTCACGTATAATTGTTTTTTTGTGTCAAGCTAACAATTATATTTTTTAATTCAATTATTTTGTTACTTTTGGATAAATTATTTTGTGTTTGTGACTACGTAAAAATAAGTGTTGCATTTACAATAAAACTTAATTTTTTTTTTTAATAATGTCGTTTTACTAAGCCATGTCAATAATTATATTCGTTCATGATTTTTTTCCCCTTTATATTTTTGCACTATATAGCTTATCAAATAGAAACAAAAGTTTAGATTAAATAAAGTGTATAATAATTCACCGTAAGTTCAATATGTACAAAATTAACACAAAATGTTTCACAAATTTATTTTATTTTATTTATTAAAAAAAACAAAACTAAGAAAATGTGTTACCGAAGGTCAATTTATTTATGAGTAATACTACGTTTACACCATATTCATTACATCATGATGTGGGATATGCCACAACCACACAAATTTTTAATTATTTTAAAATTTTAATATTATAATAGAATTTGTATGATTGTCACATATGACACATCATGATATAATGAAAATAGTGTAAAAAAATGGTGTAAATATAGCATTACTTTTTATTATAATATTAAAAATTAAAAATAATTAAAAATTTATATAATTGTGACTACACCATATCACACGATATAATAAATATGGTGTAAAAGAATGATGTAAACGGAGTATTACTCTTTAAATTTAAAATCGAAGTCTGCCCGGCTTCGGGTGATATCATTGAGCCGGGTCGGTTTTGTTGTTTTAGATAAGTCTGTAACCCTAAACCCTAAAAATATCAATTGGGGTTTTGCACACTTCGATTCAATTTCGAGGTTCCTTTCTTTCACCGGTGAGTCACGAAAATCCTTACTACTGGTTTTTTTTGTTTTTTTCCGTTACTGGGGTTTGATTCATTGTTGATATTTTCATCCTAAAGTTATTATTTTTATGCATTTCTGTTCACTATCGTATTTGTTTTTGTTGTAAGGTTTATTTGATTTATTGTGAGAAAAGATGGTGAGGCCTTATACGATGAAAGGGCATAAGAGGATATACGATGAAAGGGCATAAGAGGAAGAAGAAGAGTGAGGAGGATAAATATGATGGGGAGGGAGAAGAAGAGGAAGAAGTCGCGGAAGAGCAGCCTGACGGATTTGATGAGAAGGACGATCAAGGACAAGAAGAAGAAGCGGTATATGAGATGGAGGGCATCCCTATTGGCCCGTCCAACCGAAATGCAAAGAAACCGGGAGTTATATTTGTTCTAGAGAAAGCTTCTCTTGAGGTTGCAAAAGTTGGAAAGGTTGGTACCTTGAATTCTTCTCTAATTGTATAGATTTT